CACCTTGAGCGAATTTTTCTTCACCCAAAACTGCAACCTTTCGAATCAAAATTTTTTATATGACAGCAAAGTCTGAGATATATGCTATACACGCTGTACCAGATTAGAGGGAGAGTTACTTTTTTGAAAAGGCTCAATATGCCTTTAGAGTCAGTGCGTTTTGAAAACGGGGTTTTTCTGCGGTTCAAAACTAATCAGCTTCTGCTGATGCTATGTGATAGAATGCCTTTCGTATAGAAATTTTGTTTGACGCCCGGAAATTCCTGCGTACTGGTCGTGCTTTCCAACCAAGCTCCAATTTCGCCCTAATCCAGCTTTTGTCTTGCGCAAAGAGTTGCGATGAGACAAGTGTGTTGCTTGTATGGTGATGTATCCGTGCTGAAGTATTAGGTTGGTGCGAAAGTAATGCGCGTTTTTCTAGCCCTTGTTTGAAGACAAATTTTTTTCATCAAACTTTCTTCTTTGAAAAAAACTTAGCGCACTATCAAAAATCTCTTTTCATACTCTAACCAATGGTGGTTGGAGCGGATTTCTGTCCTCATTCGTTAAAATCTTAGAGAGCTTCACACAACCGCACTCGGAACCTGAATTTCACTGCATTCACTTTTCTGGCCAGAGTTCAAGCGCGAATTAACTCATTTTTTGGCTTTCTTCTATGCGTAATGGAAATTGTCTACATTATGCATAATTAACCATATCTTCTGAGATCATCTAAGCTGAGATATGGACGCCTCATCATGGGTAATCGTTGCATTCATTCTGCGGTCAACAAATTTTTGGAGAAAGCAATTGCCAAACTTCGCTCATTTCTGTAAGCGTAAGGGCAGAGCCCCTTTTGACATTATTTTTGCAAAAAGGTTAAGCAGTTCAGTGCGCGGAAAATCAGAAAATTTCATAACTTTGGACTTTGAGGACTATGAAAAAATCTTTAAAAAGGTGATGTAAGCACTTTCCGGTGAGATTGTTGAGCTTGACCAAGATTGGTATGATAACTTTATTGGCTGACGTCGACGTTTCGGCGATCTACGCCTTCTTCGGAGCCTGGAAAGACGAAGTCATAAGTGTCTATCCGCTCAGACGTCAAGTCCCAGGAACAAAATAAACCCGAAGAGATTAGCCAAAGACATTATCAGAGCCACAAGAACACATACTCACCTTAGACGCAGCACAATCGGTAGCTGGAGAACAGACCACCTTATACAATCTCACCGAAAAGTGCTTACAACAATGCCAAGATTCAAGGAAAGTCGAACCTTCACCATAAAAAGGTGATGATTTTGCACACTAATAAATTTTGAAGGGAGTCACGACCAGTTGAAAACGAGGTTTCAGAAAAAAACTTTTTCTCGCTATTAATCCGTATTTTTCTGCCCGTTGGTGATATAAGTATAGGAGGATGTGCGCTGTCTTGAAAAAAGTTTACTGTCTCTGATGGTCTTTGTCGCATTGGAAGAGGTAGACTTGCTGAAAGTTATAGCATGTCAAATTGAGAACTCAGAAAACGCGCATCACTTTTGCACCAACCTAATATCCAAATTCTTGGCAGGACTACTCTTGAGGCCCTGGAGGTAAAAGCCAATAAAAAGGTGATTGCAATAACACACACAGCATGAACCGCAAGACGATGTTTTTGGAGCGCACTGACTCCAAAAGCATTTGAGCCAGAAGAGTGATGCTCCCTCTGAATTGCCCTTGGTACAGAGTGTAGCATAATCTCAGACTTTGTTACTGTAATATAAAAGATTTCGACACGAAAAATTGCAGTTTTGAGTGAAAAAGTAGCTTCGTTTGGAGTGTTCGTCTAATTATAAATGGGAGACGGTCTTTTCGCACGGGCCCATCTCTAGCGTCACCTGATTTTGATTTGTTTCAACACTTCACACCGCCGCAAATCTTTCCTCCCCCTGCTTTGCTTGGGCAAAAGCCGCCGCAGCACAACCGTAACGCTTTCCATCCTTACGGTCGTGCGAATCGCCCTACACCCATTATAATCGCCAGAAAGTCGCATTCAGCGTAAAAGCATTTTCAAGATAAACACCGACTTTATTCTTGTGTCATGTACACCGTTTTCGGTTATGCTCTTTCACGTAGTATCGACGAGTTGAATTTAATCCAAATCCCGGATTCGACAAAATATGGGGTGTTCGCATAATTATGAACCGCGATTGTAGTTTAGAATAAATTGTTTGTGTAGGAATAGTCTAGCATTTTTTGACGAAAGCATATCCATTTTCGTTCTCTCGAAAGAGCCATGAAGAAAGAACACAGCAACATAACGATTAACCTTGAAGATAGTATGTGCTTGCTCAAGTTAGGGTTTCTTGAACGATTTTTTCTTTCTATTCGGAGATCTAATTTTTGGGCATTCGCAATTTTCAGATTTCGCATTCAAACTTCTTGGATCATTTTGCTGTAGAAAAACCATCTTGTAGAGTCTTGTTTTGCTCTACCGATTAGTATGTTTCCTACACTGCCAACCTCCATACCAGCCTTGTCAAAATTTTTAATTTCCCATGGATAGATAAAATGCAATAAAAACAAAATTAAATTTGGTCACAGTACTCAGCTTTGACACACATCCTTGCCAAATAATGGTTTTACAAGCGAAACACGGGTAATCTGTAATTTCGACCGACCTGTAAAGCTCATGCTCAGAGGCCTCAAGGGGGATACGTTGAGCTAGTCACAAAAATTTCTTTCTCTTGTGATGACAGTGTGCTACAGAATGGCGGCGTTAGTTCATATAAACGTTTTGGGATTGTTTCATGAGTTCGTTGTCAAATTTTGTTGTCATTCACTGCCATCAGGCCATACTGTAGGAATGATGTAGATGCAAGGCTAAATGCCACCTGCTGAATTTCTCCCAAACCTAGTTTATGTGAGGTATGCTGTATATCGTTCTCAAAAAAAAGACATTGCATCAAATAGATGGCATAAATATACGTTCACAGTCATAACAGTAGTCCTTAAACACTGATTAGTGAACGGATGGAAAATTATAAAGCGTTCTTCATGTTGCTACAGTTCTTTGATATCTTTCCATTTCAATGATAGGGGCAACGACAAAACAACAAAATGTTAGCAGCCTTGGGCATGGGGCGACTGATTTTGAGAGAACGAAAGGAAAAAAGTGGACACAAAAGAATAGATAGCAAGGCTATCCAGAAACACTGAACCATGCAAAAAGTGCAAAAATGCAATGCACCCAGTTATGGTTCTGGAAATTTGCTGAACATTTATTCATAAGTATTAAGTGCTAGTATCGCATAATTCTTAGCTGCATTAAACACTACAAAATCTCTACAATACGAAGTTCTGAAACACAGTTATGATTATCACTCATCTTACAAATTTTGGAATTGTGGCTCTAAAATACGAAGTATTGAAATTTAGGGTGTAACAGTGGTACTGAAAAATATCAGTATTGAAAAATAGGCGTCCTCGCCTGCGAATGTAGGGGTGTATGTCAAGAGGCGCGATATTTATTGCCAGATGGACACCGAATAGCGCATTGTAAGTGTTTGAAACTTGAAAGCATGTATCGCAGAGAAAAGAGAAGGAAAGGGCAAAAAGTTGCATCGAACGCTATTCAAGTTGTTTGCCACTTTACGTTTCGCAAGGCTGGATTGAGTTCGTATCAAAATCGTAGAAAGTCAATAACTGCAAATTTAAATTGTGATAATTATAGCAGTGGTAAATTTTACATTTTTGAGAATGTGGAAAGCAGGGAAAACTTCTTTTGCACTCAAAGACGCGCATGGGCAACTTGTCTTGGCATTTCAAGGGATATGGGGCTTAGGGTTTCTTCATACAACGCCGCAGGACGCAACAGCCTGCCGCAGCACGCCGCAGTACGCCGCTGCAGTCGCAGCGAAAATAAACGCTCAGGGCAGCGCAGCTTCGCCGGATATGGATGTGTATTTATATTTGCTGCACGCTCGTGTTCTTCGAGAGTGTTATTTCACAGGAGCGAGCTCACAATTCTACTGCGGCTGCAGCTGCGCACGCTGCTGCAGCCGCAGTAGAAATGTAAGCTCGCTCCTGCGGCGTAGTATGAAGGAACCCTTATGTCGCCAATAAGCTTCACGCGCGCGAGCATCTGGTACAAATCTATAACGCCTAAATGGGGGCTGTGTGCTTTGCCGCAGATTTCCGCATGAGACCACTTCCTTGCGCGACATATAGTTCTCCACCCTATTTCGGGTACAAATCCGTTCCAAAGGAAAGGACAGAGTAATGAAAAATCCTGAAAACTTTGCGAGCGTCACAGTGTCTGCAAAATCTCACATTTCACTCTTTAACCTGTACATGTTATACAACTGCTACAATACGTACATCGTTTGTCGAAAGTTGCCCGCCCGCCCGCACTGCAACGTCGCTTGGCTGGCGCGTGGCCTTTCAGTGCGGGCGGGCTAATTTCGGCATACGGTAAACCAATACCTTGACATAAACTGTATAAGGTGTAGCATACGGCTCTCAAACACTTATAGACAAACTAGCTGGCAAACCCGTTTTCGCCCGTCACTGTCACTAACATACCGGTAATTAGCGTGATCACTTACCCCCCCCCCCCTCCCCCCACTGCCAACTCCCAGCCCCGTAGCTCATATTTTGCAAATCGATAAAATCGATAAAAGTAATCGATAAATCCAAAAACCAAGGTTGTATTTGTATTCACTTTTGGATGCAGGTTGACAATAAAGTGTGCACATATACGAAATTAACGACATTAACTCAAAAGCAAGGGATTCAGTTTTTCTATGGTTTTTTTCAGGCAGTTTGATTTACGTGGTGCAAAACCCTTTTCAGATTTCCTACAGTAGCCCTACAATAGCGAAAAGAGATTGATGCGTTAGCGAAAAGAGATTGATGTGTTACTCTATACTTAGATATGATCTGAAGCCATACCTCACCGTACTTGTAAGTTGGCGAAACTTATATGAAAAAAAGACGTGTTAATGATAAAATATAGGCATTTTAGAACACCCTGTGTTTGGGGGCTAGATTGAACGGAATTGCAAGAGACTCACCAGCGCCCATTCCGTTCCCAAAAGAAATTTGGCGAGCTCCGTCTTTACAATACCGGTGAAATTTTCGTCGTCTGCCAATTTTTGGTCTAGCGGCGTCTTCACTTTATCGGTGAGTTTTTCTTTGCCTTTCCTTTTTTTATCAGCCTTTCTTTCGGTTTTAGATGGTGGATCTACCTTGTCTTCTCCGTTCGGATCTTTTTGGTCTGAGGGCCCTGGTTTTGCATGTGCCGGATCTTCAGTAGTTCCCTTGAAGTTTCCATCCTGATCTACTTGGTCTTCATCCTTAACTTCATGGCCTGAGTCTTCGGCTTCATCTTTAAGCCTGGGTAAATCTCCACTATCTGGCTCTTTTTTTATCTTCTCCTCATCCTCTTTACTTCGATTTCGGCTATCTTCTCCGCACACAGAGCCGAAAGAGTTAGAGCCTAAACTTTAGTGTATGTAATGATAATCGAGAGGAAGACTAACTTACAGAAAGAAACATGCACAGCAACTTCATTTGCTCTATCATGTTCAACCTTGTAATTTATACTTGTTATCTGAGCTAAATTAGGAAAGGTCAACAGCTTGCGTACAGCTCAAAGGTTTTGTCGCTCCAGTGCCCTTTCCAAAAACTATGGATAGTTTGGTCCCAACAATCAATTAGTAATACAAAGTGAGCTGAAATAAATGGAAATCGTTGCTGCAGGTTTGAATATCAAAGCTTTCTGACCTGCGTTATTCATCCTTTGAAAAGAACGAATTACAGTCGCAGTTTAAACTGCGATACGTACTGTTGTTGAAGCTGAACCGACTCGGATCATGCAGCTGCTTATTATAAAGGATTGCGACCGTTTCCAGCTAAACAAAACGTGGTAGCTGATGCGCAGAAATGAAGCTTTGACTCTAGTAGGATACTACTGCTCTGAGCCATCAACTCTGTTTCAATTACCAAGGCCGTGGGCATACCTCACTCAACTTCAGTCGCTACGCAATCTGGCGATTTGCCAGATGTCTTCAAATTCAATACTGGCAGACTCCAAATACACAACATGTATAACTTTCGCAGGTTGATAAAATGCCCATCTGCCGTACATTCAGAGACCCCTTACGGTGTGTTATGAAAACTGGAGTACCGTCAAATCGCTCCGCACTGAAATCGTGTGAGGTATGCGCAGGGCCTGATTCTTGAGCATTCGCAATCTCAGATATATTGTTTTGGCTGCGACCATCCTGCAGTGCCAATAATGGCTCGAATCCTCTAATTTTCTTATGATTTTTCAAGATCATTTTTTAGGTATCTTGCTATGACAAAATGATCAAAAATACGGCAATGCCTGTTTGTACACTTCGAGGCTCGACTTCCAAGCAGACATTGTGGTAACTTTTCATCCATTCTACCGTAATTTGCAGGAATTCTGCATCCTTAATCACTCGCGATGGGGTTAATATACGAGTTTCTAGGCCTCAAATGCATGCACCAGGTTTCGCTACGGTTGATCTGCTGCATAGATTCACCAAACTTACAGAAAAAGCGCTTTTTTGCTGATTGCATGTTGAAACTAACCTCTTAACTCAATGGACTAGTGCTATTCCGGAATTATCTTGACCTGACATATTTTTTTTAAATGTACACTAAATAATGAATCACCTAGGGCGATTTGCATAATTTTCGGGCAAGCTCCTTGGATATATGCTAACTGAAAGATGTTGCATTTGAAAAGTCAACAGCAATACAGTTCGCTATCCGTATAACAAGAAGATGTATTGTAAGAAAATGCTTCATAGCATTCTTCCGAACGGATATCCTATTTGTGGTATGCACATGTTATAACATAATTTTTTGATGGCTGGTGGAATCCTAGCACACTCTGACCTACTCTTTACGATAAAACGTACTGTAAATTAAGGCTTAGTGGATTGACCTTAAAGCATGTTGTGGTTAGGATTCACGAACCCTTGCAGCGTGTTTTCTCCTTGTGTTAATATTGTATCGTATTGTGTTGCATCATAGCAGTATAGGTGCTAAAACATGATCATTTTAGACTAAAAAACTTTTCTTGTTGTTGTCTGTCCGGTGTATTGTGCAACCCAGTGAGTAAAAAGGCCAACTGTTAGCAGAGCTTCTAGTGACCATCTAAAGTGGGTTCGCGAAGCTACAGAACCGGGGTTCCGGAACCCACTAAGTTCGTTGATGAGTATGGCCACAAGCTGTCTTTTGCCTACCCTTCGTCGTAATAGTTGTTATTTACTAATCATGTATTGGCGACGTCGGTTTTGGTCAAAATCGATTTCTGCCTTTTGAGCAGGAAGCGTGGCATACGACAGCAAGATGCGACCCCACATGTCTGGGAACATCAATGTCGAATTCTGATTACAAGACTACTTCCGGCCATACGAACCATCTGTGTTCGAAGAGATGAGTGAAGAAGTAGGCACCGATGGGTCGTATTGCCCAAACGGCAAAAATCGAAATGGTGGTTTTGAATTATCAAACTATCTATAGATTATTCGCTTATTTGCTACTCTGGCAAAATTTATGGGTGTGACACAGGGCCAAAATAGGTGTAGCTGCTACTTTGTTTGGCCCTGTGACGCATCCCACCCAAATACGTTCAAAATAACCAAACATTCATGTCCATTCAAAACTGCTAAACTCCCTTTCAAAAAAAAATCAATAGCGGAAGACAGCGGTTTTTCTTTTTTTATTTTCACGGCGAATATTGGGTTACTGTAGCGTAAATCTGCTGTACCATGTACATTGTGAAGAAAAGCGGCAAAAAAAATAAAAAAATATACATTCAATAGCCTGTTTCGCACTTTTCACAGAAGTGGTTTGAGCCTTATTCTTCTTGAATTTCAGTTATAGTTGCTGACACTATCCTGGAAGCGAAAATTGATGGGATCAAGATTTTTGATAGCTCCTAATTCAATTTGGAGGTTATTTTAAGCGGGATTCCTAATGCGTTAAGAAGGTAGCAAACTCAGCTTTTGAAAAAAATCAAGCATGTTTGAAATTGATCATTTCATTGGGTGGCCCAACATTCTAATTGGGTGCCCAAGATTTGGATACTTCAGATTTAGCAAAAACTCGTTCCTCAGGGTTACTTAACCAACATCGAAAAATGCAGGAGGAACAATATTCGGAGGAGCAAAGCATGTCACTATAACATAAATTCTGATATCTGATATTGAGTAGACGCGCTTCAACTTCAGTTATTTTAGTTGTGCCAAAAATCGGATCTCGACTTAAGTACCAACTATGTACTATGTATTAGGTTGGCACGAAAGTTCTTGCGTAATTCAAACAAAATTCAATAACTTTACAAAGACTAAACCTAAATTCACAATTTTGTACGCTAAAAATATTAGAAGGCCTGCGCTCCATGATGGATGTTTAAGCGCAAGATTTCATAAGTCAGCTCTCGAGAACGAAGCTCTCAAATATGGGACTTCAAAATTTGCAATTTTGAGTTAGGTGCCAGAAAATCGCAGAGTGCCGAGTTAGCCGAAAAAAATCTGTAAAAATGCAGAAATCTATACGTTATTGTAGCAGGCTTTAATCTCGCATGGAAATGCGAAAACAAAAAATTTGTGGAATTTGTCATTTTACAGGATAAATCCCCTTATCGATGTAATTTTTCCACAAAAACACAGTTTGCAACCAAGAATTAGACGTAGTGCCTATTTAGAGCCTTGCGACGTTTTTTGGAGTGTGAAAAATTGTTTTTGCCGAAAAACTGCGGTCATAAGTGGATTTGTTTTGTGGAAGTCTTAAGCTTCATGATGAATGTTTAAGCATGAGATTCCGTGAACTGGACATCAAGAACGAAGCTCTCGAATATGGGGCTTCAAATTTTGCTATTTTGAGTTTGGTGCCAAAAAATCGCAGAGGGCCACTAGCTAGCTGAAAAAAATCTGTAGAATTTACATATACAGCAAAAGTTCATATGTTACTTTGGAGCTTTGATCTGCACGGTGAAGCAAAAATAAAAAGTTCGTGAAATATGTCAGTTTGAGGAAAAATTCCCCTCATGTCTGCAGTTTTCCGGCGACACTTTTTTACGTTCGAGAAAACGTCGCAAGTCTCTAAATAGGCACTACGTCTAATTCCTGGTTGCAAACTGTGTTTATGTAGAAAAATTAGAGCGATAAGGGGATTTGCCCTGTGAAATCAGAAATTTCACAAATTTCTTGTTTTAGCATTTCCATGCGAGATCAAAGCCTGCGAAAATAACGCATAGACTTTTACCGTGTAAGTAAGTTCTACAAATTTTTTTCAGCTAGCTAGTGGCCCTCTGCGATTTTCTGGCACCAAACCAGAAATCGCAAAATTTGGAGTCCCATATTTGAGAGCTTCGTTCTCGGGAGCTAACTCATGAAATCTTGCGCTTAAACATCCATCATGGAGCGCAGGCCTTCTAATATTTTTGGCATACAAGGTTATGAATTTAGGTCTAGCTTTTGAAAAGTTATTGAATTTTGTTTGAATTACGCAAGAACTTTCGTGCCAACCTAATATTTCTAAATTTTTCAATGAAAGTGCCCGAAGAAGTCCAAATAATCATGGATAGAGCGATTCCCTACAGGCTACAAAAAAACTTTTTCACCCTTTTCTATAGCTCGCGGCTATAAAAAAGGGTGAAAAATTTTGAATTTTGAAGTAGAATTTTATTTGTTGCCATCAAACTGAGATTTGATCAACAGAGTTGGCTTTCTTTGTTCTTGATTCGCTACATCTTGGCGGAAAAATTATTATAATTTCCACAAACCGCTTTACGCGGTATCTGAAAATATAAGGTTTGATATTTTGAATCCGTGAACGCTCGCTAGCCTTGTGAAAAAGTGTTAATTTTTGACAGTTTATAAAGCTGTCAATTTCAAATTTTGAGGATTTTTGATGTTTGATGCTTTCGCCTTCGGAATAGGTCTGCCAGAGTTACCTTGATTCAAATGGAAATTTCATAAATGAATTTGCGGGAGATACTTAACGAAAAACTATTAATTTTGTATCCTGTAGTATTGCTCTATTCAATCGTCTCTTGAGCTTTTTCGAGGGATTAATATAAAAATTTATAGTTATGGTGAAACCTGGCTAAAAATTTCGACCATGGCAAAAACCATGGGTGGAAATTTCTAGTCATTTGAGCGATGACTAAAGTAAATCGTGTCAGATCTTGGAAGAGGATGAAAAGCTGCAACGAATGCGTTAAATATTTCTAGGATAACTTCAGTGTTTGTTCTGTGCCGTAAAGGTTTTTTATAGTAATACACTTTATTGCCTTACGTTTCGGCTACACGCCGTCATCAGAGGCTGAAAGGTGTCAGTCACAAGGATGTCTGCTCTTGACCGCCAAACACCTCTTCCCACTTTCATATTCGATTCATCTAGTGTGGAAGAAGGAGGTTGGGCCATGACTTTCACTCACCAGTGTATTACCGATATTGCAGTGTGCAACCGCTTTAGACGAGCCCGTTCGACTGTGGTGACACAAGAATGAGCAGTGTGTATGTCACATAACTGCTTATATA